AAAATAATTATTGGAATAAAAATAAATAATTATTCAGTTTTTAGAAAATTAGAATGAAACATGCAAAATAATTATTTGATCTATTATGTCCATAAATCCATTCAATTTTTCTACTACATATTTACTTTTCTTATTTTTAATTTAATTTTTAGAATAAAACATCCAAAATAATTATTTGATTAAAAATAAATAATTATTCAATTTTTAGAAAATTCGAATGAAACATGCAAAATAACTACTTGATCTATTATGTCCATAAACCCATTCAAATTAGAATTAAGTAATTTATTAGATAGTATGTTTTTTATCCCATATATTGATTATAATATGTTTTTTTTTTCATAAAACCCACTAAAACATGTTATTTTTATGCATAAATAGCCCATTTATGTCTTATATTTAGTGATATTGATGTTTATTTATTGGTGTATTTATAGCATTTCAAGGCGTATCCATGTGTATCTTCATTTTTCATCCGTATCCATGCGTATTCAGGGCATATCCCAATATGTCTCTTAAATTTGCCTTTCCAATACACAGTGTTTCAGATGCCTTGAACCTTGCAATTAACAAAAGAATTTATTTTATCAAAAAAATGAAAAATTTTAATTTAAATAACAATACAATTCCACCATATTAGACAGTAGCAATATATAGGAAGAATCCATGCTGCAAAAAAGACATGATACCAGAAAGAATTTGACCGAACAATCAAAACCCCTCGTATATTTGATAACCACCTGGTTGGCTACCACTTTTTTAATGATACCGGTTGATTGATTACAAGTTTTCCAGTATCATGGTCAAACCCTATAGTCTATGACATCAGGTGGAAGTGTGGAACCAAGGTTTTAAAATGACCCGGAACATGAACTGTTCTGGCCACCGTATTCCAGGTTGATGGTTCAACCATCTGATCCAAATAGATGGACAATTACAACAAAAAAATAAAAAATAGCCAAAAACTGTTAAACGGGTCAAATGGATCGACAGTTCAATTGCCCGGGTCAGCAGGTCATTGACCAATTCAACAGTTTTGGCCAAAACTGGGTTTGCAGTAAAACAGAACCAATTGCTTGGGTGGTTCCCGGGCCAAATGGTCCAACCGTCCAAGTAAATGGTGGTTTGAAAACATTGGATGGAACAGAGTTTTTGCTATTAAACCAATGTATTGGCCTATATCGACCAATATACATGTTAATGCATTAAACCTTTAGCCAAATCGGATGATTTACAGCCCTAGTTGCGCACATTCGTTCCATATTAAACAAACCCAAATTCAACATGGCTCTCCCCTATAAATACATTTCTCTTCCTATCCTTCAACCCCCGATGACCCTCTCTCAATTGAACGAGACAGAACAAGCAAGAATCAAACAGTTTGAACATCAAATTAGTAGTTACAGCCTCTCCTCGACACTTCCATCTTGAGCTGGACATTTTTTTAGTTTTCTTCAATATGAGCATGTCAAAGGGATTTTCTATCAAATCTATGCCAGTAGATCACCAGCATTAGGTCCATATCTTTAATAAAAGATTGTCCAATAAATTTTTGAAGAAAGAGGAGCAGTATAACACTATAGAAGAGCCAGAATTACTTATCGCTGTGCAGCCAACTCTTGTAACCTGTATGGAAAAGCACCCATAGAAAGTAAACATCCATACAAACACCCTTCCATTACACGAATCCCACAAACTTCATGCCCATCGTCAGACATACTATTCCAGGACCACCAAGTTTTTAAAATGAACATATTTACATTAAGGAATCAATTACCAGGCAATGAGAGGAGAATATGACGACTCATTACTGCTGCCGATATTCAGGATTAAATGCCAGGGCCTCCAGGTAGATCAGCTCCTTCATCTGTTCCTCGGACAGTGCATGTTGCTCGAAATCAAAGCTGAATGGAGTTGAACAGACAGGCTCATCACTGATGTCATGCAGGGAAGCCAAGTATGGGTGCGCTAATGCATCTTCAACTGCAAATAAAGAATTTTAAGTTCAACATGAAGCAGCTTTTCCCTTCTGGTGACTAGTGCTGAAAGATTCAAGCACTGTGGGAGTGAGACATTTAGAAAACTAAGCCAATTTTACATGAGATTGAATGTGGCCTCCAACAACCGCTAGGGCAAGGTGTAGTCCAAGAAACATTAAGTGGGTGTTTTGTTTGAGGAATCAAGTAATCAAAATCATTTCAAGAGCCAGTGATTTTGAGGGGTTTGGGGATTCAAGAAAATGAATTTGATATAATTAATGCTAACAAGGTGATTTCTTCAACGCACATTATTGGCATGGACATCACTGCAGAAATTAATTCTAAAATCACCCCCCTTTGTGATTCCTCTACTGATTTTCGAGGAATCAGTTTTTTTTTTTTTTCATTTATCAATAAGAGAATTTTATAAAAGTCAAACTTGAAGATTACAACGAGGAGAGATTTTTTCTCCACCACAAGCAACAAATTTACAACTTTGCCCAAAACATTTGATTTCTAACAACCCCTTGTTTAGCTAGAGTATCCGCCATTCCATTCGTTGTTCTTGTCAGAGTCAGATTGTGAGGAAGAAGGCAGCAGTTTGGTGGGTATGTCCAAGTGTGTAAGTCGACACCTCAGATGCCTCATCCTCAGCTATCTCTTCTGCCTTTTCTGCTATTGGTTTGTTTGGTAAATCTCCTACTTCTGCCCTTCATCAAATCATCTTTGGATCATTGATTCAAGCGCCTCTAACCACATGACAGAGGCCTCCTTTGGTCAGTCTCCTAAACCCCATTTCCCTAAGAGAACATTGTTACTACAAATGATAAAAAATTAGATATACTTGGTTGTGATGATTACATTTATCTACTTCCAAGTCCTCTCACTTTCACCTACCCAAGACCTTATCTGTACCGAAATTGACTATTAATCTGATTTCTATTGGCCAACTTGTGGAAGATGGTAATACTGTTTCGTTTTCCTCTGATGGTTGTTTGATACAGGACCAGTAAGCTGGGGAGGTGAAGGTGAATGGGCTTAGATTGGGTTGGCTGTTTGCTCTGGAGTTTGAGAAGGCTGCTTCTACATCTACTTTGTGTTTATTTTCTACTACTACTTTTGAATCCTATAATTGTAATAATGACTGGCACTTGTGAAATAGACACCTTGGTCACCCTTTTTCTAAGAAACATGATTATTTGTTTGCTTCTGGTAGTTTACCAACTTCTACTGCTTTTCTTAAGAATATTAATAAAGCATATATTACTTGTTTGTGCAAGAGCCATATTTTACCTTTTCCTTCTCATTCTGAACATGCAACAGTTCCATTTCATTTAATACATAGTGATGTGTGGTCGTCTCCAGTTATTTCTAGATTGGGGTACAAGTATGTTGTGATTTTCATTGATGCTTGCACATGTTTTACTTGGATTTATTTTCTTTGCAAGAAATCTAAGGTATATTCTACATTCAAACTGTTTCGAGCACATGTTGCTACTCAGTTTAAAGCCAAGATATGTATCCTACGGTCGGATTCTGGGGGAGAGTACTTTGACAAGGGTTTTCAAGCCTACTTGAAACAAGTCATCAAATACCAAAAATCCTATCTTGGTACTCCACAATAAAATGGAGTAGTAGAAAGAATAGACACATTTTAAGTGTAGTCAGAACCCTCTTACAAGATTCCCAAGTACCCTCCTAGTTTTGGGTGGAGGCGGCTAGCACTGTTGTGTATCTCGTAAACCTTCTTCCATCATCTATCCTACACAACTCCTCTCCTTTCTAGTCTCTCTTTCATCATCCTAAGACTCTCTATGCTTCAAGTATTCAGTTGTGTCTATTTTGTTCATCTTCGCCCCAAGAACGCACTAAGCTAACTGCACAAGCAGCTTTGTGTGCTTTTGTGGGCTATAGTCCTAACCACAAGGGCTTTCTTTGCTATGATCCCATAATTCGTTGCATTCAGATTTCTTGCAATGTTCTTTTTCTTGAGAATGTATCTTTCTTTGAACATACTGTTAACTTCCTTGTTCCCTCTACTTCTTTGTTACACAATTTTGACTCTACAGATTCTTCAGGAGCACCTACATCACCTTTGCAGCAATTTCAAAATTACTTCAGGAAGCAACGGTCTACATCAGCCTCTATGCTTCTCTCCTCTCCACCACCAACTGCTGGTCCAATCACTCCATATATCCCTATAAGTTCATCTCCTCTCGACCTCTTGATTGCTATGGTTTTTCTCTGAATAATAGCTCTTTTTCTGCCATTTTGTCCACCACAGATATTCCCAGGTCTTACCAAGAAGTTGTAGCAATTCCCCATTGGAAAGATGCCATGGACTTTGAAATTCAAGCTCTCCTTGAGAATGACACCTGAGACCTAGTTAAAGCTCCTCTTATTGGTAGTCACTGAGTTTATTCAATGAAGCTGAAGTTAGATGGGATCTAGATAGATACAAGGCTAGACTCGTTGCTTAATGCTATAAACAAGAGTACGGGATAGACTATGAGGAGATCTTTGCTCCAGTGGAAAAGATGACTATTGTTCGACTTCTATTAGCCATCTCTACAGCAAAACAATGAGAGGCCCCTCAAATGGATGTGAAAAATGCATTCCTACATGGAGAGTTGAAAGAGATTGTGTACATAAAGCCTCCTCTTGGATATTGTATGGATCCACATCTTGTAATGCTGACTCAAGAAGTCCCTATACGGCCTCAAACAAACAGTTAGGGCCTATATTTCAAAAGATTTCACTATGTTATCACTAATGCTGGCTTTATCCAAAGTTCCTTAGATTACTCCCTTTTTACTTTGCATCGAGACCAAGGAGTGACTGTTCTTCTCTATGTTGATGACATCATCATTACGAGAAATGATGTAGAAGGAATTGTCGATCTGAAAGACTTCTCAATGAATCCTTCAAGATGGACTTAGGTCCCTTGACTTACTTTTTGGGACTAGAGGTTTGTCATAATTCCCATGGTTACTTTGTCAATCAACATAAATATGTAGTCGATCTTATCAAATCCTAAACTCAATAAGGATGATGGTTCCCCCCTTGAAGATCCTACCCTTATTTGGCGGGCAGTCTAATCTATCTTACTATGATTTGGCCGAATATAGCTTATGAAATCCAAGTTGTGAGTCAGTTTGTGTCATTTCCAGGACAACCACATTCGTCTGCAGTTTACTGGATTATTAGCTATGTGTGGGGAAACTTATCACATGGCTTATTCTTCTCTCCATCTTCTATTAGCCTCACTGCCTATGTTGATGTTGATTGGGCCGGTTGCCTAGACATCCGAAGATCTATTACGGGTTGGTGTGTTTTTTGGGTAACTCTCATTTCTTGGAAGTGCAAGAAACAATCTGCAGTATCAAAATCTTCCACTAAAGTTGAGTATGGAGCCATGTCCTCCATGTGTAGTGAAATTATTTGGCTCAAGGCTCTCCTACATGATATATTACATGAGCCTCCGCCTTCAGTTCCTCTCTTTGTAGATGATGCTAGTGCAATTAAGATTGCATCCAATCTTGTTTTTCATGAGTGCACAAAGAACATTGAAGTTGACTACCATTTCATTCGCGACCTCCTTGCAAGCACCACCTCTCTTCCACATGTGTCCCATGGCCTCCAACTTGCCGACTTATTGATGAAAGCGATGACTTGGGCCTGACACATGTTTCTTATGGACAAACTGATGCTTATTCCTAGGTGTGGTGGAATGGAAGAATCAACACATTATTGAGACAACTCATGCTTTATTATTCTAAATGTTTGTTCCTAAGACCTATTGAAGTGACACTTTTCTCACTTCATTCTCTATCTTGTTTCCTTCAAAGTCCCCTTTCTCTCTTCCTTTGAGTGTTTTCGGTTGTGTTTGTTTTGTCCATCGCTTGGGCCATGGACATGATAAGTTTGAGTCCTAAGCAATCCAGTGTATCTTTTTGGGCTACTCTCGCACACAAAAGGGGTACAAATGTTATGATCCTATCCTTCATAAGTCGTTTGTTGTTCTTGATGTCACCTTCAAGAGGCTTCCTTATTTTTCTGGGCGGGAACCCTCTCCCTTTGTTCCTCTCTCATCTTCTTTAGGTGATGTGTTTATCCCTCTTTCCATTATTGATTAACGCATTCAACCATCAATTCACAAAGTGTACATCAGACCAATGTTTTAAAAGGTGCGCCTAGGCACAGAGGCAAGGCGCTTTCCAGGCTAAACACCTTGCCCAGGCTAAGGCGCACAACCATTGGATAAGCGCTCGCCTTTGCACCTAGGTGTGTGCATCAGGCCAGGCAATAGACAACACATTTTTTTGAGCAATCCAACCAAGTTGTGAAGCAACTCAGCCTTCTTCATCGTACAAAGCCTACACAAAAACAGGGGCTCTGCCCCATTTATTTTTTTCCGGCTTTTCTCAGTAAAATAGGGGCTCCGCCCCTTTCTCCTTTTGTTTTTAATGTTAAAGCAGGGGCAGAGCTCCATTATTCATGTTCGTACACAACCTGCACAAAAACAGGGGCCCCTTTCTCTTCTTCATTCTTTTTTTTTCACAGAGCTTTTACTTAAAAAACATAACTCTGCCCTTCTTTTTCTTTTTCTTCTTCCTTCTTCTTTTTCCTTTTCTTCTTCTTTCTACAGAGATTTATAGACTTGCAGTCTTGTTTCTTGCACAAAAATAGGGGCTCCGCCCCATTTGTTTTTTCAGTTTTTATCATAAAAACAAGGGATACACCCCATTTTTTTTCAGTTTTTCTCATTAAAACAGGGGGCTCTGCCCCATTGTTTTTCAGTTTTCATCATAAAAACAGGGGGATCCACCCCATTTTTTTCACTTTTTCTCAATAAAACAGATTGTTTTCTCAGTTTTTATCATAAAAACAGGGGATCCAGCCCTTTTTTTTTTCAGTTTTTCTCATTAAAACAGGGTCTTCACCCCACTGTTTTTTGGTTTTTATCACTAAAACTGCCCATTCTTCTTATTTTTCTTCTTAGTT